ATCGCCACTATGGGTGCCAAAACAAGGGGGGTCTGCATGCCCTGGGCTGGCATGCAGTCCAGCAACAGGGCCAGCTGCTCAGCACCCATGTCCCAGCCCAGGTGTGGGAGCTGGGGACAAGAGGTTGGAGGAAGCCAGCTGTGTCAACAGCTCCCTTGATAGCACCACTCGGTAACAGCCACAGAGCCTCCCAAGTGAGGCAACTTCAAAGGGCAATGCCGCACCCACAAAATACTTTGTCTGGAGTGGGTATGTGGTGGCGTAGCCCCAAAATGCAGCCAGGAACCCTGCCACAGCAAAAGGCCCTGGCTCACAGGACTAGCCACCTCAGGACACCCCAACAGGCAGTTTTTGACCCTCACCCATCCTATCGGCACAGTACAGTTGGCACTAAGCAAAGAGGGACAAGCAAAGCACTGCACAGGAAAGGAGGTGCTAGAAAAACAGGTGAAAGTCCCAGAGATAAGCATTCACTGGGGTCCGGAAACTGGACAGAGCATACATAGGAAAAGATAACTTTGCACCAGAGGAACCTGCCCACCTGCATGGCCACAGCCTGGATGCCTCATGCGGCCGGGCACCCGCAGACTTGGGTTTTTTTTCTATGGTGCACCCAGCTGCCCCCCTGCACCCTCCCCTGAACCCCGACACTACTGGGCTGCAGGCAGCCAAGCCAGGCTTTGCACCTCCATCATGTGTAGACCTTCAGCATAGGCCCTGGGCACAGTCAGCTTCTGGGAGAGGAAGAGCTGCTGGCCCGCTCTGCTGACCCGTACGGCATGAGAGCCCTCATCCAGGCAGCGAAGCAGCCGAAACCATGAGCTCAGAGCTGGAGAATGGCTGGCATCTGGGGCTGGCATGAGGCACACGTCCCTCCCACCCATCCGCTGCCCTTGAGGAGGTGGACATGGACACTGCAGCCCCCACCCTGCTTGGAACAAGGGCTCACTGCTCCCCACCTCCTCCGGGGCAGACTGGCATAGCAGGCTCTGGGGGCATGGCCATCCTCCCTTGCGCCAAGCATGGCTGCAGACACTGGTTCGGTGAGGG